AACTTTGATATGAGTAGAATATTCAAACATCAATGCGGTTAGACTGGATGGAAGGTGTTGATTTTATTTATTTGTGAAATCATATATGTAAATATGCATAATTATGGTTGATTATTCTTTAATCGTACGCTTATCAGTCATGAATATGATGAACTTAAGTTCAATTCCGGAAAAGTTTGATTAAGTGCAGTGTGAAGTACCTCTGTGGTAGAGATAGGGATGAACTTGTTCTTCTGGAGGATGGAAGAGAGGAATTAGGCTGTTTTGTTTTTTTCTTTTAGTTTCATTAACTTTAGTTTTAGTATTTTAAAAAAATGAATTTGAGGGTATATGCTGCTTTAGTTTAGCTCAAATTTAAGCTTTCCTTTTATGAAGGAGAACCACAGAGGGGTGTCCTTGGTAAAGACCTTTCTTTTTAGTAGCTTCTATCTGTGCACAATTGTGTTTGTGAATTAAATGTTTAACTAGAATTTAAGCTTTCCTTTTATGAAGGAGAACCACAAATGGGGTGTCCTTGACAAAGACCTTTCTTTTTAGTAGGTTATTTCTGATCTGTGCAGAATTATGTGTGTGAATTAACTGCTTCTGTACATTTAGGTTTTCTCATATACAATCTAATTTGCAAAATCTATTATGGTTTTTTATTGTTTAGCCATAGTGCTAAATTATTTATGGGACTTTAATGTTTCTCTATAATTGTTATCTACTGTCCATTTTGATCCAAAAATCTGTCCTCATAGCTTGTTTTCCTGAAGCTGTAACATTCTTGCAGTGCCAGGGATTGGAAGTACGCTGCCGAGCAGTTTGTTTCAAAGCTCCCTAATAAAGTTTTTGTTCACTGAGTTTTATATTTTATATAGTGAAAATGTATGTGCCGTGTCTGATCTCTTTGTCTTTTGTGATTCTTTTGGCTTGCATAAGTTGAATTTGGGTTCATTTAGTTGTTTCTAATAAGAACAACAGCTAATTTGAACTATACTGTCTTTGCAGGAGAAGAAGGCCATAAGAGGCAAGAAGTTGAAGCAAGAGGAGAAGTATATGTGGGCTGTTGTTAATGGAGTCAGAGAAGGTGTGGTATCTACATTATGTTGTATTTTGTCCCTATTTGTATTTTTTCTAACCTTTTTGTCTCCTTTTGTTTGAAGGTGGGAGTGGGAAGGGGAACTTATGTTTAGTTTCAACGGCTTGATGTATATATAGCTTTTGCTGCTTATAGAAAATCCTCAATATTTCTTCAATGACTACGAAAAAAAAATGTCTTGGGAGAATAATTTTTGTTTTTCTTTTCTTTGCGTATATTTTGGTATTATTGTAAATCTAAAATAGAAGTGTGCTGTGCAACCTATTATCGAGCTGGAGAGTGGAGCATATTTTATTAATTTTTTGAAGAGCGACTGATTAGTAAAAAAAGCAAAGTTGTGATTAACTATTGATTTTTTAGCAGGTTCTGTATATTTTCATATTTGTTTTCTTCAAATGGTCAAATAAAATTTTCAAATATCAATAATTATTCTGCAATTTTGATAATTTTTACTGAAGATATGTATCGGGGCATGTATAATTGTATATGACAGTAAATGCGTTTGAAGTGCAGCTGGCTTTTGTCTATACTGCAGCATTAACGATGAGGGTCCTGCATAGTTATATTCATCTTTTGGGATGTTCATGGTGCCTTATTTATTAAACATTGTTGTTGGCTGATAGCAACATAGACCAGTCTATTGTGGCTTTCTTCTGCTGCATATCTGAGGCATCTGACAACTATGTCATTTGCAGGTTGGGAACTTCAGGGTTGAACCACCTGGATTGTTCCGAGGTCGTGGAGAGCATCCAAAGGTATACTAAGCATCTTTCTGCTAGCATTGAAGCTCTATAGTTCATCTAAAATTTCCTCTTTTGTTATGTCCTGGCTCTTTATTTGAAAATTGGTGGCAATATTGGAGTTTTAATGAGAAAAAAGCGCTGAACAGATGGGGAAGCTTAAAAAACGCATACGTCCTAGCGACATCACTATAAATATTGGAAAGGATGCACCAATTCCAGAGTGTCCTATCCGTGGTGAAAGGTTCTTCTTCCTGCTTATTAGTTCTCTCTTTTGAAGATTAGGAAAATGGTCGGTGAGGTAATATTACGAATTTATTTATTGGCAGCTGGAAAGAAATAAGACATGACAATACTGTGACATGGTTAGCATTTTGGAATGATCCAATCAATCCAAAGGAGTTCAAATATGTCTTCCTTGCAGCCAGCAGTACCCTGAAAGGGCTAAGTGACAA